ACACCTCTGGGGTGCTCCTACTTACAATCCAAATACATACAAACATATAAATACATGAATCTACACATATATGTCCACAAACACCAACACACACGTACCAACTCACTCATACGTACCTGCAAAATCAGCCATCCTATCGAGCTGCTCCATGAAACATATGCATGCACACATTCATACATACACACACACACACAACACACACATACATACATAACAATAGAAGTGGTAGTTAGTGTAAGTAGCTTTCTATCTAGATCATCTAGAAATTTCGTTAAAATTGTTTCAATCCCAATTTGTTTCGTACTGATACAAGAGCTAACACTAAAAATGTCGTTAAATTTGAAAGGCTAGGCCGGCCAACCAACACGGTGATGATGTTAATTCACTCATGTCTAATAAAAACAAAAGAAGTTCCATCTCATATCAAAAGTTAAAGGTTTAAATAATGGGCGGCGTGATTGTCTAATGGTTAAGGTCGCCTGGTGCTGTTTCGCAGTAACCGGGTTCGAATATGACCAACCAAGAGATGTGTGATGCTTCGTTTAGCAAGTTTCCATATACGATGTTTGTGACGTGTCGTTGAATTCTCTGAACTTTGGAAGGGTGTAGTTGACCTAAATCAATATTTTAGTTGAAAAAAATTAATTTAAATTTATTCGTCGTTCGTTTGTTCGTTTGTTCGTTCATTCATCCATCCATTCATTCATCCATCTATTCATTCATTTATCCATTCATTCACTCATCTATTCATTCGTTCTGATGAGCTGTGTCGAACAAACGATCATTCGTTTGTTCGACACAGCTTCGTTTCCGTACTACTATCATAGTACGGAAAATCAATAATAAAAACTACAACAGAATAAAAATGATGAAAAATAAAAGACAAAAATAAGAGAAGACTTCTTTTTTGAGTTTCTCACTTTAATGGCTCAGCAAACAAAATGGCGGACGTGGAAAGAATTTTCAAATTCAAATTTCTCCAAGTTTAAAAAAATTATAAAGGGTGATGGTGATGATGGCGATGATGATGATGATGATGATGATGTCGTCTCGTCAACATCATCATCATCGTCACAAAACATATCATCATCATCATTATCATCACCAACCATGCTATTTAACATAAAATATTCATAGGTTTGTCGGCTCTGATTAAGTTTGTAACTAATTTCAATTAATTCAATAAGAAATTTATGCTGATGAATCGGTCGTCACGTAATGATAATTATAAGAAGAATGAGAAGGAGAGTGAAAGAGAGAGAGAAAGAAAGAAATAAAGAGAGAGAGAGAGAGAGAGAGAGAGGAAGAGAAAGAGAGAAAGAGAGAAAAATGAAGAGAGGATGGAAAAATTTGAAGACGAAAGAGAAAAATTGAAAATTAGAAAGAAAAGAAGAAAGATGGAGAGCGAAAGATAAGGATATAGATAGATAGATAGATAGATAGATAGATAGATAGATAGATAGATAGATAGATAGATAGATAGATAGATGGATAGATAGATAGATAGATAGATAGATAGATAGATAGATAGATAGATAGATAGATAGATAGATAGATAGATAGATAGATAGATAGATAGATAGATAGATAGATAGATAGATAGATAGATAGATAGATAGATAGATAGATATATAGATAGATAGATAGATAGATAGACAGACAGATAGATAAAGAATTGTAGTAGTGGTATTAGTAGTAGTAACTGCAGCAGTAAAACTAGTAGTAGTTGCAACAGCAGTAGTAGCAGTAGCTTCAATAGCGGCATTAGTAGCAAAAATTACCATAAAATAACAAACAACAATAATAATAATACCAATAGTAGTAGTAGTATTGGTAATAGTAGTAGTAGTGGTGGTGGAAGTAGTAGTAGTAGTGGTGGGGGTGGTGGTAGTAGTAGTAGTAGCAGAGGAAAATTTTGTATAAATAGGAGCGAGTGAATGCAGTTCTCAAAGTTTAGGGGAGTTGAAAGTGTGTGTACTGGCAAACAGCGTCTGTTGTTCTTTTCAGACAGGTTTTTTATGATTATTATAATTATTATTATAATTATTATTACTTTTTTTATTATTAATTATTATTTTTATGATGTTTTTTTGTTTTTGTTGTTGTTAGTGTCATTATTAACATTGCAGTAATTGTTTGCATACAGTTTTCGTAACTAAATTAATTCAAATTCGAAGCTTCCAAAAACCAAAAAAGTGAGATTTGACGTCATCGTCAGGTCATAACCACAAAGAACATTAGCAACATCAACAACAACAATAACAACAACGTCAAATCACATCATAATACTCATCACCTCATCAAAACCGCCTACACCAACAATAACATCAACAACAACAACAACATCATCAACAACGACAACATCAACAACAAAATGAAACAACAGCAGCACGTCATCATGACGATTGTCCTCACCTACCTCACTCTGTTCTCCCTTACCGACGGTCAAAATTATGACGTCAACGAAGAGGTTCGATTGTTGTTGTTGTTGATGATGTTAGTGTTGTTGTTGTTAGTGTTGTTGTTGTTGTTGCTATTGCTTATTTTTATTGGTAATTATTTTTATATACATTTTTACATTCTTTAATGGTAACCTAGAAACACACTCACAAATACACAAACATATACAGACGTACAAACGTAAAATGGCATATACAATTACATACAACAACTTTTAGAGACGCAAATATACAAACACATACAAAAAAACATACAAACAAACAGCCAAATACACAAACATACACAATATACCCGCACATGCAATCACATACAACTACGTAAAAACATACATATAACATACATACGTATACAAACAGATACAATAAGAAAAGCAGACACAAAAACATTATACAAAACATACAGAACATAAAAAACATACAAACTTAACGCTCCATTGCCTTCAAATACTACCCTTAACTTAGGAATTTTCTTGGCTTCGTATCATAACAGCTTGAAGATGATTTTATAATGCTAGGGGTGATAAAAAATGGTGATAAATTGAACGAATGAATGAACGGATGAGTTGGTGGATGAATAAATGAATGAATGAGCAAACAATGAGTGAACAAAGGAACGAATCAATGAATCTAAAAATATGTATACTATATGCCAGCAATGAAAAAGAAAGATAGAGAAAGAGAGAGTAAGATACGGAGAAAAACAAGAAAGAAAAAGACAAAAAAAAGAGATAAAGGGAAAAGAGTGAGAGAGAGATAAAATTTCAGCAAGCGTATATGAGAATCTAGCTAAGGTAAAAAAATGTAAGGCATTTGTATACGAGGTGGTCATGTATAACTGGGGGCGGTCCAATAATGAAGGGTTGAGATCATCATCACCACAGTCCATCATCATCATCAACACCACCACCACCATCAACGTCATCTTAATCATCTTTTTAGTATCATCGTCGTCGTCGTCTCCAAGAATGAAGATGATTGAAGTAAGGAAAAAAATGAAATCAGGATAAAAATCTCTAATTTAAGTTCAATTCATCATTATCTGACGTTTGCCTTCCCAGCATTTAATGGCTCTAATTAATTGAGTCCAAGTTTTTCTCTCTCTCTCTCTCTTTTTTTTCTCTCTCTTTCTTTTCTCTCTTTTTCTTTCTTCATTTTTTAATTCTTTTTTCCTCGTTTTGTTTCTTTTTTTCATTACCTTTTTTCACTGTTGAAGTATTGTAAATGTGCGGAAAAAGAGAGGAGAGAGAGAGAAAGAGAGAGAGAGAGAGAGAGAGAGAGAGAGAATCAGAGTGAAAATAAATAGTAAGAGAAAAAAAAGATAGATGAGTGATCATAAAAAAGTATTCGATTGTTTGTTTCACTCAATCATTTTCTCTTTTCGTTTTGTACTGTCATATATTTTCCCCTCTATCTTTCTTGTTACCTCTCTCTCTCTCTTTCTTTCTCTCATTGTCTTTGTCCTTTCTTCTTCTTCTTCTTCTTTTTTACTGCTTTTCTATCTCTCAAATTTCGACGTTTGCAGATTATTAAAAGAGAGAAGAGAGAAAGAGAGAGAGAAAAAAAAGAGAGAAGAGAGAGAGAGAGAGAGAGAGAGAGAGAAAGAGAGAGAAAACTTGGAAAAAGTTTTTGTGAAATAAATAAATTTAAAAACGAAGCGAATAAACAATTAATTAGGATTAACTTAATTAAATCAAAAAGTTTTTACGTCAAAAAGTTGAAAAGTTTAGAATTGAAATTTAACAGCATAAATCTTGATCGTTATTTTTGCCTATAGGTAAGGTGGTTAAAATTAAGTTAACTCGTTTGATATGTGCTCAAGAGGAGCACTTGATTGATTGAATTTTATAAAAAAGAATACTAATAAAAATGAAAAAATACCATGTACATTTGGAAAATAATACTTGTATCGAAATATTTTCACTAAAATTAATTAAAAAGTTTTTTTTTCTTAAAACATACAACAACCCAAAAAATGAAAGAAATGTTTAATTTCGTTTATTTTTCATTTTATTTCGTTTTATATTTCATTCTTAAATGACAACTTTTAAATTAATTTCATCGAAAAATTGTCTGGTGCGTGTGTGTGTGTGTGTGTGTGTGTGGTGTGGTGAGTGTGTTTGTTTGTGTGAGTGTGTGTCTGTGTACGTGAATATTTTCATATTTGCAAAGACCAAGTTCTCTAGGGAATTTGGCTTAAAAGATATAAGTGGAGTGAAAATGTAATAATGGATATTGAAGAATTAAAAATTTAAAGTTCGATTTTTTGTTTTTGTTTTATTTGTCCTTTTATTCTTTGTGAAATTTTAATTTTAATATGCTGACTATATTTTATAAAAATGATTGTCATTAGCTTTTTTTTGTCATGGATATGTTCGTGAAGAAATAATATTTGTATTTACTTCAGATAACTTTTGTTCAATCAATCAAACAACTAATCCTTCCTTCCTTCATTTATTCATTCACACTTATCCATACACCAACTCATTCACTCACTCACTCATTCATTCGTCTACATAGTTCGACCCATCTCTACCTTACACAATGTACGGCAAGATGCTAAAAGCTCTCTCCTACTACAACAAAAACAACAACATCGATGATGACGTCATCGTGAACGGTCACGATGACGACTACATAAATAGTGAGCGCTACATAAACAAGGACGTCATCAGTGACGTCATCGCCCAGCAACACCAGCAGAATGGTTCGCTACGGCAGCAGCAGCCACAACATGACCAAAAAAATGAGAAACCGTTGCTGTTTAAGAAGGATGGAAAGAATGGAAATGAAAGTTCGTTCGTGGAGAATGAATATTCAATAGTTTTACACTTATTTGTTTTATATAGTTTAAATTATACAATCTTAGTGTTTTTTGTATGTGTTTGTATATGTTTGTATATGTCTTCATATGTATTTTTTCGTATTTGTATGTTTGTCGTGAATATATGCGTTTGAACAAATGTGTTTTTTGGTATGTATGTGATTGTATTTCGTATATGTGATAAACAGCCTCTCTCAGATAGAATGAATGAATGACAGAATGAATGAACAAGTGAGTGAATGAGTGAATGAATGAACAGGGTAATGAGTGAATATAAATACAAATATTTGTATGAAAGGCGTGTTTTAAATTATCTTTTTACAATTGTATACATTTTGTATTCGCGTATTGTCTGTTTGTACTTTTTGTATTTCCTTCAGAGCTCGCCAAACGAAATCCTCCGAGATATTTCCATTTTGTCAGAGGAAAAAAATGAAGACAAAAATTCTCTTTTCCAAAATTTGGAAAGACCAGCCGATGATTTGATGGATTTTTGAAACTGACAAAATATCACGAATATTCATTAATTATTGGTTTTATATTCATTAAATTTTAAATAAATGTAACAAATTGATGAACAACAATGTTTTGTATTTTAAATTGAAATATATAAAGTTTAAAAATTATTTGTTGTTAATATATTATCAAAGTAGTTTTTTTATCGATTTAGGTTATTAAATATTTTAAAAACCTATATTTGAGTGCCATTTCGTGTTATTATTTTCTTCAATCTATCAAATGCGTTGACAAAAATGTGTCCTTTATTATGCAGAACCGAACATTTTTAAAAGAATTTTCACCAGATGAAACATTTTCTAAACTCTAAAAAAATAAAAAAATGAAATGAGGAGAAGAGAAGAAGAGAAAGAGAGAGAGAATGAAAGAGAGAGACAGAATAAAAAAAGTTACATAGAGAGAAAAAGAGAGGGAGAGAGAGAAAGAGAGTCAACAACGAAAATATTAATTAAAATATAAGATATTTTTTATTTCATCAAATGAAGATTTTTTCTAAACATTTTTAGGAAAACATAAAAAAATGAATAACTTTTTTCATTTTTTTTCATTCTACATGAAACTTTTTAATCAACTAAAATCTGTAGAACTCCATTTCTTCCAAAGTATCATCAAGTAAACAGAATGACGTCGCTGAGATGAGAGGGAGAGATAAACAAAAGAGGTCTACTCGAAATCGAACTAATCTGGAAATGGAATAATTTTGGTGCCTTTTCTGTACCTTTATGACGTTATACACCCACATGTACGTATTCGCTTCATCTCTCTTTCTTTGTCTCTTGCTCTTTCTTTCTTTCTTTCTTTCTCTTCTCCCTCTCTCTTACAGTGCAACAAAACTTTAATTCTGATAGCTAATGTTTAAAATTTTTGTTTTAAAATCTACCTCGAAAATATCTAACAAGACACGACAAAAATTTTAATAAACTTCCAAGACGTAGCTATCGATCAGTCAGTCTTATAAATCTGGATTAATTATTCATCCTATATGCCTTGATTAAAACGGATTTAAATAAAAATTGTTAGTGTTTTGTTCACGTAAAATTTGTCGAAACATAAATTTTCTCCGAGTTATTTAATGAAAACATAGATTAATTTGTTAAAAGAAAACATTTACTCTAATTAATAAATAGATATTTAAATATGATCATTTAAAATGTGATGTTATTCAACTGTTTGTTATCAAAAAATGTTGATTATTGTATCATTTTTTATCAAAAAATTTCTTATCAATGAATATTTCGTGCTAGATTTCATAATTTAACCCATTTACAATTTGAAATTCCATTTTAGATTCCATCTTTTCCTCTGACAAAATCATGATCAATCATTTTTTCATCCAAAACACTCCAGCTTTCAACCTGTCTTGCTGTCTGAACAATTTATCATCAATCATTAGTTCATCAAAAATTTATTTTTGACCCGTTTTTATTGTTTTTCTAGTAAAAAATTCTATAGCAATCATTCCCCCTTAAAAAAAATTCAGTATCAATCGTTTCTCTATCAAAAATTTCATTTTCTAACCACTTTTCAATCAAAAACTCAAACTTTCACACGTTTTTCAGTCTAAAAAATTCAACATTAATCACCTTCCTACCAAAAAACCTTTATTCTAAACCATTTTTCCATACAAAAAGCTACATTTAAAAACTCATATTCAAATTAAAAATGTCCATATCAATCATCTCCCAATCAAAAAACACTATTTTGAATGAATTTTCAACCCAAAAATAAAAATTTCTCTAACAGATCCCCCTCACTCTAAGAAGAACATATCAATCTTGCCCGGTAATGACGAGGTCATCCTGAGGTAAGCAGCGATGAATAACAAACAGCTGTTGAAGCGGAATGATAGTGAGAGCGGGAAGATAATATTTCTGAAATATGCCCATTTATTGGGATCCAGTACATTCGTCTGGGTATCGGATATGTCTTTGTTGTATATTGCGAAGGAATCAACGATCCTGTGAGCGTATTCGTGTGTATTTGTGGGTATTATTTGTATCTATTTGAGAATATCTGCTGGGATTCTTGGGTATGTATTTTTCAATGTTTGTCGATGTTTGTAGGTATTTGTAAGTGTCTGTGAGTGTGTTTAATTAATTCAATACTGCCACTTGTGAGAATTAATACATTTTTATCTCCCTCTCTACAGTTTTGTGGTTCGTGGCGTGAATGATAATTTAAGGTTTCAAATTTTTCAGAATATTGTTAAATTTAAAAAAAAATTTAATTTTATAAAAACTTGAAATAAAGAGAGTGCAAAACTTGAAAAACTTTTCAAAAAAAATTAAAAAACTAACCAGGAATGGAAATGAAACAAAAAGCAACAACAACACCACCATCGTACAACTCACCAGAGCATGCCATTGGATATAGCGAAATAAAGAGTCAAAGTCATGAAGCAGTTGACTCTAAAAGATTTTTTCAGAGATCTCGATGGCAGAACCACCTTCCCAGCCAGGAAGCAGAACGGGATTTGTATGAAGACGGATAGGAAGAAGACGATCTCCTTCATAATTATTACATATAAGTTCTGCGTTGGTGGAAGCGCTTGCTGTAGTAAAAAAAATTCATCATAATTGAATGATTTTAACAATTTTTATTATAAAAATCATTAATAATTAAATGATTGTAACATTTTAATGTTTAAATATATATAATAAATAATAAATGAAACAGTAATTGCAGAAAACGAAGACATAATATCTATTAGATCAGTGAAATTAAAAAGTTTGATTAAATAAACATTTAAAAAATTGAAGTTACCAGTTTTAAAGCAGTTATAATAGTCGATACGGAATAGACATAGGGCCCGAACGCCGAGATGATTAGGAGGTAGTTCAAACTTTGAAACTTTTTTTTCTTATCTGTCTCTCCAAAAGCAGTTGAGCAATAAAATCCGACAAAGATCAAAATAATGCTTAAAAGCCAGTAGAAAAAGCAATACCAATCTTTAAGATTATCGTACAATTCTTTCTCGTCAATGGAGACGGCAAGCGGAGCAAAGTTAAACATGCCAAATGTTATATTGAGGATGATGATCAATACGAAGGATTGTTTCAATATTTTCTTGTGACCTCGTAATCCAGGTGTAGTTTCAATTTTCACCGAGTTAGAATCAAATGTATCTGATGTAAAGTTATTACTAGCAGTTAAATCGTCGTTGGAAGAAGCATGATAGATACGAGATGGAAAACGGTGTTCGGGGTGACTCGGTTGGCATGTTGTTGTAGCTGCTGTTGTAGTTGCTACTTCTGTGGCTGTTGTGGCTGCTGCTTCAGTTACTGTTTTTTCTTCATTGAATTTTTCTGTTGAGTTTTTCTCAATGAAAGATTTTCTGTTTCCAGAGACGCCATCAATCTGATGGACTACCCCAGACAGGCCGCACTGAGCGAACCAGTAAACGTAGCATTCGAGAACGAGAAGAGAGAACTGAAACATGAAGGGGAAAGTGATGGGAGATACTTTGAAATTGATGAACTCGTGGAAGGAAGAGTTGATGTGCACGCAATTCAGTTCGTGAGAAACATTGGCGGAAGAGTTGGAAACACCAAAATAATAGTCCAAAAAGCCGGTCGGCTTGACTTCGTCGTTAAAACTAGACTTGCTATCATTAAGGAAACTTACATTGCAATTATTCGAGTAATCTAAATCAATCAACTTATCCAAATTACTTGCTGACTGTCTCAACAGAATATCAAACCACGTTCCTAAATTGGCAGCGTTCAGAATCATCAAACCGAACTGACTGGAGCACCTATTCAGAAACCTGTAGTTCCTAAACTGAATGCAGAATGATGTCTGTAAGGCCATGTAAATAATTTTCAGCGTGTGGAAAGCAAGAGCCAGACTGGCAATGATGGTCGCGGTCTGTCCACATCTCGCGTACACGGAGAAGCAGTTCACAGTCACAATGACGTTCGACAGGTCTTTAAACAAGCCCAGCGCAAAGAAGATGATGATGCCGATGACCACCAACTGACCTCTCAATCCGAGAGGTTTGTCCTTGGCTTGCAAGTATTTCTTCCTCTTCACTGAGAAGTTTATTATTATTCCAATCGCGACGACCATCAGTGTTATAAGGACAATCTTTGTCGGCTTCTGGTCCTTATTGGGGCTCAAAAATGGAGTCAGGAGTATAATGAAGACGGATGTAGTGAGGAAGACGAATGCTTCGATCGAAGTTATTAGACCGTTGAATGTTGGCACTTCCTGGTGGTAGGTGCTCTCCTTTTCTTTCTTTTTTCGCGAATTTTTGCGTGAGTTTTTTGTCGGCACACTCTCCGTTTTATTCTTCAATCTGTTGTTGTTGTTGTTGATGTTGTTGTTGTTGATGTTGATGTTGTTGATGTTGATGTTGTTGATGTTGTTGTTGTTGTTGACGTTGCTTGTGCTCTGATTAACATCTCCGAAAGTCAATATTATGATTGCGTTTTCGCGAAGTTCGTTCAGAAAATACGAAAAATGTTGCGAAAGCCAATTTATTGATTTCCTATTAAAAGATTCGCGTTTTGTAACGACTGCAGCGTTTGAGGACGACACATTCGCGTCGACAACCTCGGCCGAAATCACGTTGATTTCGTTCATCGCGTCAATCAAATTTTCACTGTTCATGTCTGAGCAACTTTTTAATTCAACCGTGATATAAATTTCAAAAATAACTTGAGAACCTTAAATAACCAAAACCAAAATGTCGCAATAATCTTGCTAAAAGAAAAATGAAAGTAGCATGAATAGTTTGTATTAGTACTACTACCACTCCCATGTCCTTTCAGTCGCATCTATGATAGAGTTCAACTGCTGCTAAAATTGTTTGGAGAAACTTTTATAACACTAACAACAGCAAAAACAACAAGACTAATAGTTATAACAACAACAATAGCAACATTAATAATAAAAATAATAATAATAGTAAAGAGACAAAATCATCTTAACATCCTGTTCGAAGCACCCCACTTAATTAACTCGTTTGCTATTTAATCGTTGCGTCTAATATTTGATAGTAATTGGATAGATGGACGAACGAACGAACGAATGGATGAAGTGATGAACTGATGAGTGAACGAACGAACGAAAGAATAAACGAACTTACGAAAGAATGAATCAAACAATGAATGACAAATGAATGAATGAACGAACGAATGAATGAACGAACGAATGAGTGAACGAAGGATCAAACAAACGAACGAACTGTAAAAGAGATAAGTTTATCTAGAATTAGAAACAATTATAAAGTGAAAGTAATTAAATGGAATTAACGTGTTAGCCATTTTCTATAAATAACTCTCCAAAAAACCAGCAAACAACTTTCAGAGAAGATTTTCGGTCAATTATATTAAAATACTTTTATTTTTACTTTAATGTTAGTTCATTTTAAAAATTATTTGTCAAATTTTCATCCAGAGATGTCAGGTGTGATTTCTTTCCCCTGGCCGTGTGGAAGCCGGCTGGCGGGTATCCGAAATCGTCAGCTGTTTGATGGGGGTAAAGAAAGAATAAAAATAGTTTCATCCATCAATCCATTGTTTCATCCACTACTTTTTAATTCATCCATATAATCACCATTTGTTTCGCTCATTAATTCATCCATTAATTCATTAGCTCTGTCAATCCATCCGTCTATATATCCATCTTTCAATCATTTTATTCATTCATCTATTCATTTCATCATTCATTTTTCAGCCAATCAAACAACCAACCAATCGATCAACTAACAATTCCTTTTAAAAAAATCTTTGCTATCCACTGCATCGTCCCCTTTTAGATTATTATCACCACTATCGTGATTATCATCACTTATATTATCATTCTTATTCTTATTATCATTTTCATTGCTGTTGTTTTCATTATTATTTCTGTATTTTTGTCGCAGTGTTGGTAGGATGAGTTTCATAAAGTTTTTCAACTTGACGTCACAATTGATGCCATCCAATAGCTGGTGTTGTTTCGGTTTATTGGTCTGCGGTCACAATAAAATATATATTGTGATGACGATGATGATGACGATGATGATTGTCATGACGATGATGATGACGATGATGATTGTCATGACGATGATGATGACGATGATGATTGTGATGATGATGATGATGATGATGATGATGACGATGATGATTGTGATGATGATGATTGTGATGACGATGATGATGATGATGACGATATAAAGATGTTTTACGAGTTGAGTTTTAATATATATATATATATATATATATATATATATATATATATATATATATATATATATATATACATAAAGATTGATCTAATATTGTAATTAATCATCATCACCATCATCGTCATCATCATCATAACCTCTTTATCATTACTATAACCTCCCAATGTCGAACTTATCATCGTCGTCATCACAATCATCGTCGTCGTCATCATCATCTTCATCGCTAGTTCTGCTTTATTTACTCTTATTAATGATGATAATGATAATGTTGTTGTTGTTGTTGTTATCGTTGTTATTATTATATTTGTTGTTGTTGTTGTTGTTGCTGTTATTATTATTATAATTGTTGTTGTCGTCGTTGTTGTTGTTTAATGTAACGAAAACTAATATAACATTTAGAAATAACTGTATTGCTATTTTGGTCAGCAAATAATTTTCCCAAACTAAACGAAAAAGTTAATAATTTTGCTCTGGCCGAATCATCTGGCTCGACTTTATATATACATTGTGTTTGTGTGTGTATGTGTGTGTATGTGTGTATGTATGTGTGTTTGTGTGTGTGTGTGTGTGTGTGTGTGTGGGTAGGTGAGGATTGCTCTCTAAGTTTACTTTTAGTTATGATTAGAAGTGGTTTTAAATTTGATTTGAAGACTAGAGTTTGCATTTGATGATAGTAGTGATAGCGAGGGCGGTTGGAACAATCATCATCATTACTAACAGCAGCAGCAGCAAAAGTAGTAGCTTCATCATCCTCACTAGACCGTCGTTGGTATTATCTATTTATATTATCGTCACAATCGCTAGCTTCATCTCCAATTCCATAGCCATAGCAGTAGTAGTAGTAGTAGTAGTAGTAATAGTAGTAGTAGTAGTAGTAGTAGTAGTAGTAGTAGTAGTAGTAGTAGTAGTAGTAGTAGTAGTAGTAGTAGTAGTAGTAGTAGTAGTAGTAGTAGTAGTAGTAGTAGTAGTAGTAGTATTAGTAGTAAATCACACTTGGTTCGCACTTTAAATTAATCAGCACCTCGATTAAGTTGCCGATTTGTTTAATTTTTTTTTCTATTTTAGAAAAAAAATTATTTATTATTCTTTGTTGATTTATTTATTTACTTGTTTACAATACATTTTTATTATTTATCTTTTTATTTTAAATATTAAAATAATTTTTTTCGGCCAGGTAAAAATTTTCACCAGGTGACCTTTACGCTAACAAAAATTAATGCAACGTAGAAAAAGCCATGAGATTTCCAATAATTTGTTTGTTTGTATGTGTGTGCGTGTGTGTGTGTGTGTGCGTGCGTGCGTGTGTGTGTGTGTGTGGTATCTGTGTATTTCTTTCAAAAGTATCTAGTGTCATAGTATTTGTGCTCACCTACAGTTCGCATTAATGAACATTTTGTCATCGAGCACTTCACTTCTTAGACTAGCGAGAAAAAGTAATTCAATTTTTCTCTTTCTTTTCTCTCTATTTCTCTCTCTTTCTTTCTCTCTCTTTCTCTTACTCTCTTTCTTTATCTATCTATTTCTATCTTTTTTCTGTTCTTTATAATACCCTTTAATCTATCTTTCATTCTTTTTTCTGTAACCCTCCTAATTTTTTTTCATTATCATTCAAGTTGTTTGTCTATTCTCTCTCTCTCTTTTCTCTCATTTTCTTTCTTGCTTTTCTCTCTATCTCTTCTTCTCTTTCTCTCTCTCTCGTTCTCATGTTCATCAAATAGGAAATGTACCTGAGTGAAGGACGAAGGATTGCTCTGTTGAGAGGGTGCGTCATTTTGTTGCATGTGTTTGTTTGTTTGTCTGTATATATACAAGTCTGTGTGTTTGTTTGTAGAATTGTGTGTTTGTTTGTATGTTTGTTTATGGGTTTGTGTGTTTGTATGTATGTTTGTATATGGGTATGTTTGAATGTATGTATAATTGTATGTTTGTTTGTAACTAAATCTGCTTTTACGGTTGTTTTTTTGTTTGTTTGTTCGCACGAACATACATAACATGTCAACAAACATACAAAAACACATACACACAAACATACAAAAACACATACACACAAACATACAAAAATGTATGTTTGTACAGAAATAAAGTGCACTAATTTTCAATCGAGATTTCAAATTAGATGGAATGAAACGCATGACGAATGGCGTCTAATCATCCAGGTAATAACCGTTTGCGGGTATGTATGTACATGCATACATACATACATACATACATACATACATACATACATACATACATACATACATACATACATACATACATACATACATACATACATACATACATACATACATACATACATACATACATACATACATACATACATACATACATACATACATACATGACGAAAAATAATAATAATAATAACCAACCACCACAAAACGTACCAAACTGAAGCCAAAACAACAATAACCTTTAGAAACAATGATAACAAAAGCACTGAAAAACGTTGTTTCATTATCCAAATCATCATCATCATAAATATCATCATCATCCTCATTATCATCATCATCATTACCAGAACAATCATCATCATAATCGTTGTCGTCATCATTACCAGAATAATAAACATCATCAACATCATCATCATTATTTACACCTATAGAATTTTGAAAGGAAAAAAACACATTTATTTATAATTATAAAGCTGTAGATTATTTTTATACATTTCTGTATTTTTATACAAACCATCACACGAACGTACACATACACGCATATATACATACGTACATACATACATACATACATACATACATACATACATACATACATACATACATACATACATACATACAAACAAACATACAACACATACGACACATACAATCATAAATTAGGCCACTAAAATTGATCACAGCTTCTGTCAGGTAAAAAGAGAAAAAAAACACTAAAAATACTTTGTGTCTCAAATATGAACGACATACAAGCAAACATGCATACACACATAAACAAACAAACGTACAAACATACATACATATATGCATGCATGCATACGCATGCCACCATAATGTATATATGAATGTTTACAAATGTTTTTGTCAATTAGCTTGTATTTTTATACACATACATACATGTTTACTTAAGATTTTTATCACCACTGTCATCAAATTCCTCGCTATTGTTGTCGCCAGCGTATGAGGGATTGATTTTGATTTACATGTCTTTACAAACACTGTATCTTAGTTGTGATATTACAAAAATGATGATATGCCTTAGTCACTTTCCGTGGCAAGTAGAAGGAAATTGTACCAACATCATCAGCAACATCATCGTCGTTTTCATCACCACCACCATCATCATCTTCGTCATCATCATCAACAAATACCTGTAAACAATTTTCCGGTTTGTTTTCGTTTATATTTTTTTGTAAATGTGTGTGTGTGTGTGTACGTGTTTGTGTGTACGTGTGGTTTGTATGTGTGTGTTTGTTTGTGTGTGTGTGTGGGTGTGTGTGTACGTGTGAAAACACACCTGTCTGTTACACATTAACATTTCAATCCGAGTTTCCATGTTTACTGTCGACTCGATAAACTGTTTTCGTTCATAAAATTACTCTTTTTATTTATTCTTTCATTAATTCGATCAATCTTTTTTTTATCATCTGTTCGTTTTTTCCATCTTTGTAACATTTATACGTTTATTCATTCGTTCATTCATTCATTCGTTCGTTCGTTCGTTCGTTCGTTCATTCATTCATTCATTCATTTATTGATATTCAATCGCATGCTACTTCTACTATCTCAACATGTTTGATCCAGTCATTGTCTTGTTCATGTGCTAATATGACGCGCTATACAAATATATATATATATATATATATATATATATATATATAATTGCGGATTTAATAAATTACTGCAATAATTTTGGTTTTTACCAGCATTATATATATATATATATATATACATATATATATATATATATATATATATATTTTTACCATATTCTATAAATTCTTATAATATATATATATACATATGTATATATATATAAATATATATATTGTTGTTGTTTATTATGCAGCTCTGACATACGCATATATATATATATATTTGTTAGGTTATGTAATAATTATTTTAATATGCTTAAAGAAAGAAAGAGAAAGAAAGAGAGAGAGAGAATAAAATAGATAGAGAGAGAGAAAGAAAGAAAGAGAAAGAAAGAGTGTGAGAGGGGTTTATATAGTCACATGAGCTATACAGGATCGTGCTGTATTATTATGGTCGTTGAAGTTGATGAAAATGAGGTAGGTCAAAAGATTTTTTTCAGAATTAATTTTTATAAAAATTGAAAATAATTATGTAATTTTAACAATGAGATAATTATTGTAGCCATAATTCTTCCTCGCCTGATTGATTAATTTTGCTTGGTTCATAGAACTGCTCAATTAGAGTTCGTTTGATAAGTTCAGTTAAGGTGCAATTTTATGTGTGAATAATTATAATTAAGATGTTTTGTAGCTCCCATAAAATTATTTGAATTGTTTATATAATTCAATTGAAAATGAACTTGTTCGTTTGTTCCTCTATATGTTTGTTTGTTTGTTTGCTTGTTTGTGCGTTCGTTTGTTCGTCTGTTTGTTTGCTTATGTTTTTACGTGGTAAGACTGTTAATTTATTCAATTTTAACGAGTTATAAATCTATTCTGAAGCAAGAATCATTACAGTTTGAAATCATGAAATTTTCATCTGGCATCATCACCGCCATCATCGTTATCATAACTATCATAATAATTATAATTATAATTATTATTATAATTATTATAATAATTATTATTACTGTCAGCACCATCGTCGTCGTCATCTTCATCATCACGTTTGCTGTTGTAACGTCCGTAATTATATTTTTATTTCAAATCGATGAAGCCAGCTAAACTACAAAACTACGCTAAAAATATTAATAATAATATTAATAAAAGTTATAATAATAATAATAGTAAAAATAACGACAATGATAAAATGTAATGCGATATAGAATGTTATAATTTCTGACTGTGATTGTAAGAAGCGCCAGTTTGAAGAATAAAAGAATGAAAGAAGAAAAGAAAGAAAGAAAGAAAGAAACATAGATTCACGTATACCTACCAGCTTACATACACACAGACAGACATACAGACTGACAGAGAGACATACATACATAAAGACATAGACGCATACATAGGCATACATACAGGCATGCATACATGTATATGAACAAATTCGCAGACGTTAAATAAAGGTCCGTACATTCTTACACAATGAAGAGGTGAATTACTCTAAAAATCATTACAAATAGTTCCATATTCATTCACACATACAAACGTACATACACACATACGTACACACCTGCATGCAGACATACATGCAAACATACAAATACCAATGATATCCAAGTTTCTCTAGTTGTTAAGTGTGCGATGAGTTATTTAGAACGAATTAGTGTATGTGTATGTTTGTGTGTATGTTTGTATGTGTTTGTGTGTGTTTGTATGTATGTTTGTGTGTGTTTGTGTGTGTTTGTATGTATGTTTGTGTGTGTTTGTGTGTGTTTGTGTGTGTGCATGTGGGTGTCGATGTTTGTTGAAAAAACTACGCTATGTAATTTAATATTACTTAATTACAATTTTAAAAATGACCACAATAGTAATAACAAAAATATAACAGTAATAATAAAAATAATAACAGTAATAATAAAAATAATAACAGTAATAATAAAAATAATAACAGTAATAATAAAAATAATAACAGTAATAATAAAAATAATAACAATAATAATAATAATAATAGCTTATTAATGGTTTTTTAATTTTTGTTATATAATGTCTGACGTGTGTGTTGCCTGGTTAAGTTAAGTGGCAGTATCAATGGAATTCATCATCATAATTTTTCACTTTTTGGCATAATTATTGTTAATAAAAATTATATCATAATTACTACCACAACTTCTACTACTACAAATACTGCCATTGCTGCTGTCGCTGCTGCTATCGCTGCTGCTGTCGCTTCTGCTACTACTATTTGTACATCATTATGGCGATAGTTTTGTATTTCCAGTTTGATCGATAAAGAGATTTTTTGTCACAACACAAACGCATATCAATGTATGTATGTATGTTTGTATGTATGTTTGTATCTTCGTATGTATGTCTGTATGTATGTGTGTATATATGTCTACATGTATGTATGTGTCAATATATTCATCCATGCAATTATATATGTATGGATTAGTGTATATATGAGAGTGTATGTGTTTGTATGAACGTATGTCTGTGTGAACGTATGTCTGTGTGTATGTGTGTACGTCTGTGTGTGTGTAATAATGCAAATGACACTTAAATTTTATTGGAAGAACTTCAACATTCTTACCTACCTGCATACTTTCAGCAAATAAACACGGGCATGCAATACTTGCATTGCTCTCATGCTAATTCAAACGTTAACACCAGATGAAAGCTTTTATGAGAGAATAAATTATTATTGTTATTTTTATTACTATTATTAGTAGTTGTGGTGGTTGTGGTAGCTGCATGATTGATTTGTATGGTACAGTTCACAAGCGTTCAGCAAAGTAGTGGCTCACAGCAAGCCACCAAAAAAAGTTGAATGATAATCAACGAAATCTTAACTTGAACTTTCAAGCAACTTAGAAAAATTTACTGAATACTTCTTGAATAAACCTAATTAGACGGTTAGACTGTAAAATAATCTTTTGAAGCTAGCTGATGACCAATAAACTGTAAACCTCTAGCTGAAGATGCCGTTCGAAAAAATGTTTTCACTCGCTGCTTTCTGG